AGGGGACGCTGTGAAACTTGGTTCTCATTGGTCTGAATTTAGGATCAGTGTGTGTTCCTGCCTGCCCTGAAGCCAGGGTTAGTGTTCAAACTGACAGCCTCATATTCCTGTGGGGCTCAAAGCTTAACTTGGACTCATTTCTCTGGCAGGACCCCTGAAGAAAGATGATGGAGACCTGCAAAAAGCTGTAAGTACACACAGAGATGGGGCTCAAGCTCTGGGAGTTGTGGTTTCCCCCGTTCCAATCTTCATCTCTGCTTTCCTGCAGTGTCTGATTGAGGCAGTGACAATCATGGACATCATCTGCAAACAGGACTCCTCCTATGTGTGCCGTGCTGTCTCCTTCCTGAGAACCCTGCACAGCAGGATCTGTGGGGATGCCACTTATGCCAGGGCACTGCTGCCCATTGCCCAGTTCTTCCTGAACCACAGTAAGTCTTCAGCTCCCACCTCCTCCTCCACGATCCAGTCTTGCCTATTCCAGCACAGCCTTTTGTCCTGGCAGTTTGCTGCCTGCCAGAGTTGGTAATTCCACCTTGCCTGTGCTCTGGTATGGACAATCCCACCCCGAGAGATCCAGGAGCTGGGATGTGCCCTGCCCTTTACCCAGATCTCTCTTAGCCCCTGGAGCCCTGGCAGGGCTGCTGGCTGGGCTGTGCTCAGCAAGGTGCTGTGTCCTCCCAGGCAAACTGGCAGCCGTGGACTCAGATGCCATCTACAAACACCTCTTCACTGATATCCCAGCTCAGCTCTTCCACAACCCATCACTGGCCTTCGAATTTGTCCAGTTCTGCAAAGACAACAGCCAGCTCTTCACAGACTCCTCCAGCATATTCAGGCAGAGCTTCCCAAATCTCTTCAAGGTACAGCATGTTGGAGCAGCAGAGGGAACAGACTGTTTCACATCCCCTTCTGTGCCCTGGAACTTCATTTTTGCGCCCCAGAGCCCTCCATGTGCCTTCATGGTAGTGCTAGGGAGGGCACAGGCAAGAAGGATTGTTGCAAAACAAGTGTGAGTTTGAAGGGGAGGAGAATTCTGGGTGTGTTCAGCACTGCCAGGAGAGAGTCTGGGTTGGCAGGACTGTAGAGAGCTGGGGAGCACAGTGAACACAGGACACAGCACTTTGTCTCTGGAAAAGTTTAGTAAGTTGCAGCCTGCCAGCCACTGAACCAGCTGCCAGAGGCCTGTGTTGAGCTTCTAACAGGCTCCTGGGTTTTGACCAAACCCTCAGACTTCTCTGGTCTTGCTTTTCAGAAGTGACTTTCCCTTCCCCATCCCATCTGGTCACAGTATGGAGTTGCTGGGTGTGTGATGGAGTAGCAGGGATAGTGCAGCAGTTTGTGCTTGTCCCTTGCAGTTCCTGGCATGGAACAGCCCACCTCTGATCTCTGAGTTTGTGGACCTTCTCCCATTTCTGCTGGATCCAGGCACAGCCATTGAGATCTTCCATTTGCTGCTTGACCTGCCCTGTTTGACAGCAGCTCTGGACATCCAGCTGAGGTAATGCACCTTCCCTTCCTTCACTTGTTAATCAGCATCTTAACCCTGACCAAAGCCCAGAGCACACTTGTGAGCCTCAGCTGGCACAGAGCAAGAGGCATCACTGCAGTCAGGTTAACACAAGGCTGCACAGATGTCAGCCCAGTTTTCTTAGTAATGTGCTGTACATGAGAAGAGAAGGTGACCAGCTCTCACATTTCAGTATTGGACTGTCTTTGGGGCTCAGGGAGCTGTTGCCATTCCCCTCTCCCTATCCAGCTCCAAATGATTGCCACATGTTTGAGGCTTGCATGAGCTACCACCTCAATACAGAAGTGAAATCCTGTTCTTCCTTTCCTGCTCTTAGCCCTGGTTTTGGCTTTGTTCTCCTGGAGGCACGCAGAATTTTCTTCCTGAGATCTTGGGAACTGTGAGTTTCCATGAAGATGGGGTAGGACTGGAACTGGCTGTACCTCTGCTCTTGTCCTCCTGACATTACAGCTCTTTCTGGAGTGCTTAGAAAAGAGAGTCATCCTGGAGGCAGATGTTGGTGGGCTTGGATGACTGAGGGATACAGAGTGCCATTTTTCCCTTTCCTAGGCATAACACAGAAGCAAGTCTGGAACTGTTGCCTGAATATGGGGGGCTGAGCTCATCAGGTTGGCTCTCTGCCTTCCAGAGAGCCTGGATTAGACCAGGATTGCTGTTCAGTGTTCAGGATCCCAGCTCTGCCCTGGCCCATTCTCACAGTGCAGCACATTCTGTGTGTTCCCTGCTAGGGCAGCAGCTCTTCCTGCCTCTGAGAAGGCTGGGGCTGACCCAGCTGGGAAACCAGCCTCGTGTCTGGAGGCGTTCCGCCATCCCCGCTACAGGAGCACGTTCCAGTATCTCCTCCGCACCAGGTCTGCTCCCGAGGATGCTCCAGACAGGTAGGAGCCTGCCTGGAGTGTGCTTCAGCCATCCAGCTCTGGGCGGCAGCACTGGGATTACTGGGAAAGGCACAGCTGCTCTGAGCTGGCGGGAGGTGGATTTCTCTTCCCTCTCTCAGCTTTGCCAGCACTCAAAGGCCTTGTGGGGAACAGGGAAAGGCAACTGGGAACAAACCTTCAACAGTAACTCTTCTTTTGCCCACAGTCTGGTTCCTCTTCGGCAGCTGCTGGCATCCCTGGCTGGCAGCCCAAGGGTGGTGCAGTGTGCAGAGACTGTCCCTGTCTTACTGGAGCTCTTTTTCAGGGTGGTGGCAGAGGTAGGTCCTTTTGGGGGATTTCAGTTCCCAGTTTTGCTGCAGGGATCTCTTGTTATGTGAAGAGCAGTTGCAGAAGCAAAATAGGGAAGATGCTGCAGCCCTGACAAAGGGGTGCACAAGGGGAGGGTGGGATTGGTACTGGCATGAACCAGCACTGAGCTGGCCACTTGATCCAGAGAAACAGAAGAGCTCTGTGGAGCTCTTCTCAGGTTCATTCTGTGCTCTCAGCCAGCTGTAAAGGAGAGAAATCAGAGCACAGTGAGTGCCTGATACCTGCTTTGTGCACTGCTCCCCTCCTGGCAGTTTCTCTGCCAGCTGTCTCACCTGGCTGGTTATTTTGGGGTTTGACTGCTGGATGTCACTGGTACTGCAGAAACAAGGGCTGGCTTTCAGTTTGCAGATGGCTCTCTGATAAACCAGCTGGTGGTGCTGCTGCTGCGGAGGAGTGACCAGATCTATGAGATCCCAGCGTTTAAAGAGGATGTGTACAGGTGAGATGAGACAGGAGGTACAGCCCAGCTCCCAGCCCTTCCTCCTGGCAGCCCAGGAGCCTTTTCAGTTTTGGCCCAGTCCCCACTGTGACATATCTTTGAAGAGTGCAAAATGGGGGCTGCGCCTTCATCCTGCCTGGGAACATCCTGATGATACAGCCCTGTGCCAGTGGCTGGGTGCTGCCAGCTCCTCCTGGCTTTGGGCATCACCACCCTGCCCTGCTCTGAGCTGTGCCCTTCTCTCTGCTCCAGGGTGCTGGGCTCCCAGCTGGCAATGCTCTGCGGGCTGCGCCCTGCGCTCGTGGTGGAACTGTCCACGGAGATCCTGGAGTTCTCAGGAGCAGTCAGCAACATCCAGAGCAAGGAGGCCATCTTCACCCACCTGGTGAGCAGGGCTGCTGCTGCCACAGGCTGCTCCAGCTGCACCCTCCTCCCCTCTCCTAGCATTAGCTCACCTGATTTTCTGTTCCCTAAAAATGACTCGGTTCCCTTTCCCTGTGCTCCCTCCTGGCCTGGCACCAGGCGTGGGCTGTGGGCGAGTTCCTGTCGGTGTCCCACGACAAGCGCTGCACAGTGGAGCAGATCACGCGCTTCTTCGAGACCCTCGAGGCTGTGCTCTTTGAGATCACCCAGCTCCGGCCACAGGCCAGCACCCCCAGCTGTGCCCCCCGTGCCATCAGTGTCCTCATGGCCACCTTGACCAAGCTGGCAGCCCGCAGCCAGGACCTGATCCCCAGGTGAGCACCAGCAGAGCGTTGAAACGTGCAGATCTCACGGGTCTGAACGTGGGTTTGCTGGTGTTAATTAATAATTGAGTCTGGCAACTGAGAAAGGACAGAGGTGAGCTGTGGAAGGGCAGTTTGGAGGGGTGGGATTCATCTGCTGACTAATGCTCTGTCACCTGCACTAGTCTGCTGGAGTTTACACAGTGAAGTAGTGACCTGGCTGGGTGAAAAGGTCCTGCCAGCTAATATCCATGTCCTTCTCTCCTGCAGAGTGTCCATGTTCCTGTCCAAGATGAGGACATTTGTGCAGAGCCCTGCTGTCACCTCTGTTTACTGCGAGGAAGACCTTGAGGAGCTCCTTATACGTGCAACTGAGCTCATGAACCTGCTGAAAATGCCCAGCATGGCTCAGTTTGTGTTCACCCCACCTGTGGCCAACACACAGTTTCAGAGGGAGGTGAATGACTCCCTCCCTTTGGCCCTGAGGCTGGTCACCCAGCTCCTGGAGCCTGCTCCAGGCTCCATGCCAGTGTGAGGACAGGAGGTTTCTGGAGTAACTCAACTGGACACTGCTGACTCTCAAGGCTGAGGCCCTGATCTTAACTGGAAAAGAGGAACAAATGATTGTGAATGAAACAGAGAACAGGAGTAAGGAGAGCTGAGGCTCTTCTGGTCTAAGACTGTTTGTATTTCTGTGTCCCAATGCCTGTTGCTTTTTTATCTCCTAAGCTGGTCTTATTCCTTCCTGGTGAGTATGCATTGAAAATCCTGGTGGATTTGTGCAAACGTTGCAGGAGAGTGCATGGTGCATTAATACCCTGCCAGCACACCCTGGCCCTTTGGAGATGTACTTGTTCTCTCCCTTCCTCTGCCTTGTTTCCCCTCCCCTTTGCTCCCACTACACCTGCACATGCTGCTTCTCTTGCCTCTCTTTGCAGCAGATCAGGCTGTGAGCTGTGTGAGCTGGAGGAAGCAGGACTGGCTCCATCACATCTGGGAGCCCTCACTGCTCTTGTGTCTCACCACTGGAGTGAACACGGAGAGATCCAAGAGACAGCTGCCAGAGCAGGGCTTGGAGAGGTTTATTGATCCAGTTTATTGTTGACACAGAGCATTTCTTAACATCCACCGTGTCCGACAGGCGCCATGCTGTGCTCAGAATCTGCACCAGAGCTTTGTACACATCTCAGCTGTACATATTAACACACAGGGAAGTCAGTCCATCCCACTGCTCCTCCTGGGAGAAGCCAGCCCTCATGCACACTAGCAAATAGCAGGGTTTATTTACAGTCTGTTTCAACACCTGACTGCACTGTGAGCGACACACAGCTCTGGGGCTGTTCTCCAGCTCCAGGGGTGCTCAGTGGGTTGCACTGGTACTGCTGGAATGTGCCAGGATGCAGCCCCAGCACTGTCTAGTGCAAACCAAGCCTCACCCCAAGCCCTGGCTCCAGGGCAGAGGGGAGTAAGAAGTGCATGCAGTTTGCCCAGAGGCTTTAGGCAGCCCATTTCAAGTTCTGTGGAGGATGACAGGCCAGCATACCTTGTTGACTGAAAGTGAAGTGAATCACCAGGAGCCCTGAGTCTTTGCTCACCTGCCTGGTAGAGCTGAGTCAGTGGCAGGAGGATGCACTGCTCCCAGTCCCTGCTGGGGCAGCACCCCAGGGCAGGGCTGTGAGCGTGGCCCAGCAGAGCAGCAAGGCACTCGTGTCTCAGAGAAGGTGCCTGGTCCATCTTGCCTGGAAAAGCAGGCCAGGCAGCGTTGAAATCCAGTAGTGGAGCATTTCCCTTGCATGGAGTGTTCTGACATCTCGCTCCCGCGACGTGCAAGACTAAGCACAGGAACCAAAACTGCAGCAATGAGGTGTAATCAAAGCCAGCTCTGTTTTAGCATCACAATCCTCAGAGCACTGTTGTTGTGAGATGCCATGTGAGTATGTGATCCCCTGCCAGAGCCTGGACCGTGCAGGGTGTGATGGAGGGCTTTGCTGCAGGCTGTTTTAATAGGGTTCGGCTAAACTAGGTCTCAGTATCTGGCTATATGTGGAAATCAGGTCGGGTTTATCCCGTTAATGGTGCTAAAATTGGAGGGAGGAGGCCGGGTGTGCAGGGGCCCGGGCAGCCACACGATGGAGCTGAACCCTCGGCTGAGCTGGCAGCGGGGTCGGCAGCAGACAGCAGAGCAGTTCCTGGGATATTCGTGTGTCCTCCCAACGGGGTCTCTGCTGTCCATCACCACCCGTGGGTATTTCAGCAGCACACACCCGGGAGATGCTCCGAGCAGGGCACGAAACAGGCTGGCAAAGCTGGAGCAGGAGCAGGACATGGTGTTGAGCTGTCATTTGTCTGCCTGGGCTGGTGGCAGTGCCGAGTGCTGCTGGGCTCACTCAACTTCCTGGTGGCTCCAATCCTCTGTGGGAACATTTTGCCTTCAGTCCTGGTGGCCTTCAGCCAGGATTGTGTTGCCAGAGCTGGGCAGTAAATCTGCAGAGCAAGAGCAAGGGGGTCCTCCTCTGCAGGGAGCTGTCCCTGGGACTCAGGAACTGCTGGTGGTGTCAGCCCTTTGCTGTAGCTGCATCCCATCCTGAGGCAGGGCTGTAGCCCAGCAGCCAAGAGGCACCTGAGCTAGTGTATGGCACCAGGGGATTAACCCCTCCTGTGTGGGATCCCACTCCTGGTGCTTGTGCTGCCTTCACCACCCCCAGAGTTGGGCACACTTCTCCAGCCTGATGTGCCAGCACCTCAGGTGGCCACTGCCACAGTGAAGCCCAGGTCTGCCTCACACGTTCTCTTCAAAACCCAAAGGTCTTTCAAGCCTTCTGCCTGTCAGCATAAAATATCACACAGGGCTGCCAGCCTAGAGGAACAGAGGAGCCTGCCTACAAGTCCTCATGGTGGGAGCATTCCCTTTCTTCCCCCTGCCAGAGGGGACAAAGGAACAGGAAAGCTCCTGAGAAGGATGACACTGGGTATAAGATGAGGCTGGGCAATGGATCAGGAATGATGCTCCCAAGCAGTGCAGTGGGAGAAGCGTGCACCATCCTTGCATGTCCCTTCATCTGCTGCAGTGCAGGGGCAAAGTGTCCAAAAGCACATCGAGGGCTGTTGTGGAGTCCTGGTCCTCCCTCTTGCACTCCAGGCTCCCTGAGGTCAGCCTTAACCAGAGCTGTAGCCACAAGCTGCTGCAGGATCCTTGTACCACAAGGACTAAGAGGAAGAGGAGCTGGAACTGATCTTTTTGGCTATTTCAATGTCCGACTTGGCAACCAGAAACCGCAGCTTTTTCCCCCCGGAGCGGATGAGGTCTACGGCACTGCAGGGAGCAGCAAGAAGGACAGAGGTGAGTTCTGGCAGCCCCTCAGGAGCCTGCCAAGTCCAGGAGCCTGCCAAGTCACAGACATTCACAGGGACTGAGGTGAGTTCTGGCAGCCCCTCAGGGCTGGCAGCCCCTCAGGAGCCTGCCAAGTCACAGACATTCACAAAACACCCCCCTTTGCCCAGTCATGCACCTGGGCTCTGCTTCTGAGCTGTCTTGTCCCACCACCTTTGAGAGGAAACCTGGGGTGGGTTGGGGCTGCAGCAGCTCTGCATTGCTGAGACTCACCTCTGGAGCTCTCATTTATTTCCCATTTATGCTCCCCAGTTTTTTGCTCCATAATCCCTTTTCCAAACCCACAGCCTTCCCCCCTCTCTGGTGTCCTGTGCAGGTCACTCCTCTCCCTGCAGCCCGCTGGTACCGCAGCATCTCAGCACTGCAGCACTGGCAACTCTGGGAGCAAAACAGCCAGAAACCTGGAGCTGACAGTACCCCCTCCGGTGCTGTGCCAGCCCAGGCGCTGTGCCGAGGTGAGGCTCACCTCTGGTAGTCTGCCCCGATGAGGCTGGTGCCGTTGACAGCCAGGATGCGGTCCCCGATGGAGAGCCTGCCGTCGGCGGCCGCGGGGCTGTCCTCGATCAGCGTGCGGATGTAGATCCCCGGGGAGCAGAGAGGGGTGTGCTGTTGGCAGGGGAAGGCAGTCAGCAAAAAAAGGGACACAAAGATTTGTGCTCCCAAAAGGCCTAGCTCCCCAGGCAGGGTAATTCTCCCCCTGGGCTCACAACCAAGTGTGCTTGCAAGTGGGACCTTGGAGATGCTTGGGAACATGATGGGGGTGGTGCTAACAGTAACAGGAAGGAAATATGATCCTTTGGTTTTATATCAGTTTATACACAGAAAGGAGAGGTGGGGGCAACCTGCTCTTGTTCAATTTAATTAAGAGCAAAGCATTGTTAGCCTGCAGCCATGTTGGGATGGGAGCTCTGCTCAGGCTGTCCCAGGGCTCGGTGATGCTCTGTTTCCTACTGACCAACAGCACAGCTGTGAAAGGCCATTTAAAAGAATGATCCACCCCACAATGCCACATTCCTGCTTATGCAAAGGAGGAGCTGTTTTGACACCCTGTGAGCCTCCCTGCTCCTCTCTGCTTCTCCTGCCACCACTGAAGGGTGGAGGAAAGACCTCGGCTGAGTCATTTTCTTTCCACAAGAGAGCTGAGCCTGTTTGCTCTCCCCAGCTGCAGGACAGCTGTGGACTTTGCATGCACGGCACAGTGACCTACGAGTAGAGATCCACTGAGAGATCCCTCTGTGCCTCCTTGACCCCAGGAGAAGTAGCCTAGCTCCCGTGGGACACCATCAGCCCTTTTTTTAGTGTGAGGGCACCAGCTGAGAACTCACCACGCCGTCGATCAGCCCCATCCCCAGCCCGATGGGTCCCCTCTCCAGCTCCACCACGAAGACGTAGCAGAAGTCGTCGGTGGCGGAGCTGCGGCTGGAAGACTCCGGCGTGGGGTAGTCATAGGGGGTCGGCGAGCAGCCTGGCAGAGAGCAGAGAGCAGCTTACAGCTCTGGCACTGCCCCAGCCCAGCCTCAGAGCCCCGGGGCAGCGCCAGCCCTCGGTACCTTCGGGGGTGCTGCCTTTGGTGCCGCTCATCCCGTTCCTCCGCGCGTCCTGCAGCCCTTTGCCGCTGCCCTGCGGTGACTCCGGGCTCCCGGAGTCGAAGTTCAGGGGGGTGGTGGGTGGTGTCAGCAGGCAGGAGGGGTCTGGGGGCACCGTGCCACCCTTGGGGACCGGGCTCCTGCCCAGCTGCAGCTGCTGGAGCTTCTCCTGGAGCTGGGGCTCGCCGGCGGGGGGCTCGCAGGGGCAGGAGCTGGTGGCCAGGCAGAGCTGGGGGTTCCCCTCGGGCTCGACACAGCCCCCCAGGGAGCAAAAATCCTCCTGGGCACGGCCCTCGCTCACCTCCAGCACCTCCGGCGTCGGGCATGCCTCTTTCTTAAGAAGGAGGAAAATGCTGTGGGACCCCCTGCGTGTGCTTTTCACTCCCCACCTGGAGCCCACCACCCTGTTGCTTTCCTGGCTGCCAGATCCAAAGCATTGACAATTCAGATGCTGCCACGCTTGTCCTGGCTTCCCAGCACAGCTCCCACAGCCCAGTTTGGTGGCCAGGGCCGTGCTGGGGGTGTTTACAGCCAGCCAGGAAGGGACTCCTGGTCATGTCCCTGCTGGGGGATCCCACTGGAAGGGGACACTGGGGTGGCACAGCTCCTCCTGTGCCACAAGGGCTGGGCAATGTGTCCCCAGGGTGACAGGAGGAGGCAGCAGGGCCTGTGAGTGCTGCAGGGAATGGGGACAGGATGGGAGAGGAGAAGGGGACCTGCTGGAGGGACACCCTCCACATGGCAGCTGAGCTTAGCACCCACAGCACGTTTCACCCTCCCTGTGCTTTACAGGCATTAGCTAATTAGCGCTTCTGTGCAAGCCTGGCTGCTGGGGACGGGCAGGGTGCAGCTCTGAGAGGACAGGCAACACACAGGGAGAAGGGGAGCACTGCCCACAGACATCTCCCCTCCCTCCCTAACGAGATTGCTGGGAAGATTCTGTCCTTCCAGCTCAGCTTCCCATGCCCCCCATGCTGGGGGATTAGCAGCACTAATCCTTCCAGAAGCTCTCCATAAGGGCACTGCCACAGCTCCAGGCTGCAGGCAAGGGCAGCAAGCCCTTGGCACTAGCCTTGGTGGGGGTCTGCAGAGAGACCCAAGACCCTCCTGCCCAGCCAGGAGAGGAACAACCTCCCCGTGGCATACAGGCTACCTTTGGGAGCGCTGAGCCCGGCCCCTCGCTGGTGTGGGGGCTCCTGCTCTGCAGGCTCCAGAGGAAGTGGCGGATGTACAGGAGGTGTCTGTAGATGTTGTCGTCCAACGTCTCCACCTCCAGGTCCACTTTGAAGCCCCCGCTGGGTAGGATGATGGGTGGGTGGTTGTCAAAGGACTCCAGCACCTCATCTGAAAGGCAGAGGGATGGATGGAGGTTAACACTGGCTCAGGCTGCACCCCGCTTCTGCCTCCCAGCTCTCAGCCGTGTGCAGTCTCCCAGCTGGGATCAGGGATTTAGTGAGCTTGAGCCAGCAGCATCCCTCACTTGGGACAGCAGAAAAAGCCCCCTGCACTTTGCATCCTTTGCAATATCTGAATTTTGGGGCTATGGTTATTACCAATTGCTGAAGGTACCACAGGACACTCAGGAATGAAGGGAATGACCTGTTTGGTTTGTATGTGACTGGAGCAGGCTGAGCAGGACTCACCAGGCTGGAAGGTGGCCGGGCTCTCCTCCTCACTGGGCTGCCACGCTGAGATACAGCCCACGTCCATCACTGCCTGGCACTGGCTCAGCACCCGGTGCAGCTGCGCGGGGCTCAGCGCTGGGAACTCGGCTCGCAGGGATGGCCAGCTCATCTGTGTGAGGACACAGCAGCAGGCACATGGCACAGGTGAGACACTGCTGCCTCTGGGGAGCAGGAGCTTGCAAGGGGCACTGGAGGGAGAGGTCGGGCAAGATGGAGAGAACATCCTCTCCTGGGTACTGCCCACCCACAGATCCTGGGACAGGGCAGCTGGTGGCAGGTTGCAAAAGGCACACATCAGTGTAGGGACACCCCAGACACTGAGCAGATGCTCTCCTGCCCATGCCTATCCCAATACCACAAGCCCTGGGCTGGGCACCCCTCACCTGCACCAGCTGGGAGCCGGGCATGGCCAGCAGGTTGGCCACGCTGGCCAGTTTGGCGAAGAACTGCTGGGCGAGCTGCTCCAAGCCGGCGCCGTGCAGCCATTCCAGGAGCAGCCGCACGCTGGCCCGCAGCTTCACCCCCTGAGACCAATGGTAGCAGCCCAGAGAGGAGCCTGAGGAGGCAAAGCATCCATCAGCCACATCAGGGAACAGCCCCTCTGTCCCCCTGCCCCGGGTTAATGTCCCCAATATCCCGTGGCTGTAATTCCTGGTGGTGGCTGGGCCTTGCCTGGCACTTACAAGGGGGCAGCTGTGTTAATGAGGGCTAATGAGCACCTCAGGCTGCTGGAGTTCATTAATGAGTTGCCCCTATCAACCACCCTCAGCCTCCTCTGCTCAGGCTCGAAGGGGCAATGGAATGGGGAGGGGATCCTTGTGGGGTTTAGCCTCTCCTGGGAATGGGGACCCAGGAGCCAGCAGCCGGGTCTGTGCTTGGCCTGCCTGTAGCAATGCTGAGACCTGCCCATCTCCAGCCCCCTCCTTCCTGTACCCCTTTAGGCAGCACTGGGATGGACTGGAGGGCATCCCAATAACTCAGTCCCCTATGTGTTACCCAGTTCAAGGAGCACTGACCCTTATCCAGGAGCTGGTTGAAGAGCAGGGTGTTGGAGAAGAAGAAGAGGTAGGCAAACATCTGGGAGGTGATCTCGGGGTGCACTTCGTACTGGTGGAGCAGGTCCAGCACAGCCTGGTAGATGAGCACGACCCTGCGGAGCTCCTCGGGCAGGGGCGGGGTCCCCCGCCAGCCCTCCCGGCACTCACTCTGGAAGGGGTTGCACTCCAGCAGGGCAGGGAGAGCCACGTACAGACACTGCAGGGAGAGCAGCAAGTCCACAGCAGACTCAGTTTGTTGGGGTTTTTCTATTTTTGCACGAGGCAAGCTTTTCCTTCACCTCCTCAAGCCAAGCAAACCCTGCCAGTGCTGCTCCAGCAAGGGGCTGCTCCTATTCACCCCCTGCCTCCATGAGCTCAAATGTTGTACAAAAGTTTAAAAAATTATAAAAATTAACATGTTGGTCACTTTCAGCAGCTGGAAGAGATGGTGTGTGACACCAGCCAAAATCTGCAAAACCTGATGTGGACCAGGGCAGCAACCAATCAGCTGGGCACGAGGGTGAAAGAAAATTCAGGATCGATGGGGATGATTTTCCATATTGCTTAAATGGGAGAGTAGTGCCTTGCACTCACTTCTTCCAGGGGAAAGAGAAGAGGAGGGCGCAGGGGAGGAGGGCACAGGGGAGGAAGGTGCTGCTCCATGTCCCCATGTGCTGGTGGCCAGTCCTGCACAGGGCAGCCTTTCTGTGCCGCACACTGCCCGCTCTGTTCCCCGCCGCTCGCGGCCCAGCGGCCCAGGGGCCCCTTTCCATCACGCCCTGAATCACACCATTATGCTGTGCTGGCCCGAGCCAGGCAGCCCTCCCCAAACACCTCCCCCGAGCCGCTGCACTGCAGACCAGGAAACACGCCGCAGTAATTCAATACTTTTCCTGGGCTGCGACCAAAAATCGGGGAACTTCAGCCCGAAGGAAAACACCTCAGCGTGGTGCAACTGCCAAGGAGTGAAAGCTTTAAAAAAACCCTCCTGCCCAGCCCTGGGGATGCTCGTGCTGGCCCCGTGTGCTGCTGTACCTTGGAGATGTAGTAGACACACTGCTGGAAGGTGTACATGATCACCTCCTCCAGCACCGTCATCGCCTCCTCGCTGGCCGTGATGGTCGAGGAGAACAGAGACTCCTTGGAGCCTGCAGGGAGGAGAGGAGGATGGGGGAGCAAGCCTGCAGCAGCAAGGCCCCCAAATTCCCAGGGTGTGGGTTATTAGAATTTCCAGGTTTGTATCATCCCCAAACTCCCAGGGTGTGGGTTATTAGAACTCCCAGGTTTGTATCATCCCCACGGAATCCCTCAACAGGGCAAAGAGGCTCCTGTGGCCTGGAGGAGCTCCCACCTGCATCCCCCACAGCTCCTGTCACTGCTGACAGCTCCTGCCTGGCCTCAGAACATTTTAACTTTTTGCATAGACCAGAAAGTTTCTGAGGCTGGTTTAATACCTTTCTATATTTTTTTCCTTTAGCTGGCATTAACACAGGCTCACCAGTGAGCAGTTCTGCAGGGCTACCTGCAAATCCATGGTGAAGAAAACCCCCCCCAGGGCATTAACCACAAGCTGCTGTGGTGGCAGGGGATACTTGTGTGTGTGAACACAACAAAACCTGGCTCTGGAGCTGGGCAGCACCAGGGCAGGATGTGAGGCTGCTCCTCCCACAGATTTCCCCACAGCACAGAGATGTCCCTGCTGATGAGGATTATGGAGGGTTAATGGAGCACCTCGAGGGCACTGACCACCACCTGTGACAGGATTAGCAGAGCAGAGCTGCTCCAGCTGGGAAAACAGGCAGAATGCTGCATCCAGACTCACCTTTGATGTCCAGCTCTTCCTCCATGCTCTGGATGTAGGTGGGTGATTTCTGCTGGACAAAGTAGAGGATCTCGATGGCATTGGCCATCCAGAAGATGATGTGCTGCAGGTCTGGGAGAAGGTCTGTGATGGTGAAGCGGGACAGGGTGGCAGGGTCCTGGCTGGGGAGACACAGCAGGTGTTACACCTGCTGCTCCTCGGCATCCCCACTCAGGCTTTTGGGGAGCAAACAGCCAGCCTGGGGCAATGCCAGAGGGCTTTCACATCCCCACACCCCCAAGCCCAGCACTCCCCTTAGAAAGACCCTTTACAAGGAAAAAGTCAGTGGTTTCTGCTTTTGTGGAGTGGCATAGGGGGCCCTGTGGGGACCAGGCTGGCCTTTGTGGGGTGCCACTTTTGGGGGAGACTTCCCCTAATACAGATGAACTGCACTAAATATTCACAGCTGAAGAGCAGCCCTGCCCCAGAGGTATGTGCTGCTCCTGCCAGCCCTGGACAGTTAAACCCAGCTCACCTGCCCTGGGCTGTTCAAAAATAAAACAAAAAGCATCTGGGAAATTTCTAAACTGTTTTTTTCTGCTATAGGAAGGGACTGGGAAACATCCTTGAAGTTTATCCTAAAGGAGAGCTCACAGCAAGCACCAACAGTTTCTCCAGATACTGGTTTAGACATGGGGTTTTGGACATGGCTGGGAAGACTCCTTGCACCACTGTGATTGTCCCAGAATGGTGCTCCCAGTTTCTCCAGATACTGGTTTAGAGATGGGATTTTGGACATGGCTGGGAACACAGCTCCTTGCACCACTGTGATTGTCCCAGAATGGTGCTCCCAGCACTGGGACACCCTGTGCCACCACCCCTGGAAGCACATATGCAATGCCAGCTCCATCTCAGCTCCACTGAGGAGTCTCCAGCCTGAGGAGGGTCAGGCTCACTCTTAAGGAACATTCCTACTGTGTCACCCAGGGGTGAAGCCACAGGCAGAGCCTTGGCCAGGTCTTGGATCAGAGAAAACCCCAGAGCTGCTGCAGGTCCTGTTCCCTCCTGAGCTTTTCCAAACCCACGCATTCTGTGCAGGCATGTGGTTAAAGGACCAGAGAGCAGAATGAGTGGGATTCAGCAGGAAAACTCATCATGCACCACTGGCTGACAGCCACGGACTTCCCTCACTCGTGGAGGAAGAACCAGCTTGAATTCTCCCCATTTTTGAGGTAAAACAAGGAGGGTCACACTTACTGCTGGGATTGCTTTTCAGCCAGCTCCCGCGTCCGCTCCTGGGCAGGGAGAGAAGGGGAAAGCAGAGTGAAAACCCGTGGGATGGGGTGGCACGAGCATCACCCCCATCAGCACTCACTGCCACAGGCTGAGGAGCCCCCTGGGAGGGCTTGAGCAGCACCCCCACCCTACAAACACCCCGTCCCACCGCCGACTGACCCACACCGTCCTCTGGATCATTTTAGCCGCTTTGAGCAGCAGCTGCCCGAAGTCTCCCGGCTCAAAGTTGGTGGCCGAGTGCTGGATGCAGAGGCAGAGCAGGAAGGCAGGCGTCAGCTTGTGGTCGTCCCCGCCGGGCTCGATGAGGCTCATGATGCGCCGCAGGAGCACATCCTCGGCCGCCGGCTCGAACTCCAGCTGCAGCTTCCTGCGGGGCGTCCTGGGGCCGCCGGCGGGCGACGGGCCCCGCTTTTTGTCCTTGTCCTTCAGCAGGCTGCCGCACGCCCCGCACACCTGGGGACCCTCGGGGCGCAGGGCCCGCAGCCTCAGCAGGGTCTGCGCCGGCAGCGGCTGCGCCTTCATGGGGTCCTTGTAGAGCAGCAGGTAGTAGAGGCCGAGGGACAGCAGGTCCCCGTGCCGCAGCACCACCGTCCGGGCCACCTCGGCGAAGTTGACAGAGATGCCAGCGCCGGCGATGGGCTCCAGCACCAGCTTCTCCTCCGAGCGGTGCCGGGAAGGTCGGAGCTTCCTGATGGTGCAGTGCAGGGGCAGGATGTCGGGGGCGGACAGGCTGATGCTGGGCTTGCTCGCCTGCGTCCTCTGGCCCACCGTGTGCTGCTCGCGGTTCAGCAGGTAAACCAAGCTGTCCTGCCAAGCGAGAGACGCAGCATGAACCGGGGAGGGGGAGAAGGGACCCTCCTCCCCGCCGTGCAGTGATGCTGCAGCCTCCCGCTGTCCCCAGCTGTCCCCTCGCTGTCCCCAGCTGTCCCCCATGCACCTTTGCATGGCAAAAACATTTCGTTTTTCTACTCTCCTCGCTGCCAAGCAGGACAGCAGTGATCCCTGCCTTGGGCACGGCAATAAATGGGTACAGTGACTTTGGGCATGCAGTAAATGGGGCTGCTTTGGACAGAAGGGGAGCCCTCCTTCCACCTCTCCCCCTCAACCCTCCTAGAGCTGCTTTTCCTTCCCACCTTCTCCCCCCAGACTGCAGCGATGCCTGCCCCCCCCTGCCCGAGGCGACAGTGGGACCCCGGGCAGAGCATCCACCCCTGGCCCTGCCCTTCCTGCAGCCTGCCCGCACACCCCGAGGCAGCTCAGGGGACCAGCCCGTGCCTCAGTTTCCCCCAGCAGCACTAACGGGATGGCTGCAGTGCCGGTGTCACCCTGCCAAAAACTTGGAACAGCTCGACACTCAACGGGCACGAAGTAGCCATTAACTGCAAGAGCCGACCCTGTCCTTCGCGGTTCTCCGAGTGCCTCCCGCAGACGCGCTGCTCTCCTTGAGCCACTGAGGAAGCAGCCGGACGGGGCACAGGGGACGGGGCAGCTCAGCCACCACCCGCAGAACCAGCGCTCCCTTGGGCCGGGGCAGGGATGCTGCGCTGGGATCACCTTGCATCCCTCCGGGGCACTGCAGGGGGTCACGGCTCCTGCCTCCGTGTTCCCCGCACTCGGGGACAAGCCGGGCACAACTCGAGGACAAGGCTGCAAGTCCCAAGCCCGTTCCCTAAAGGATGCTCACCCTCACCACCACCACCACCTCCCTGGCTCCCAGCAGCTCCGGCCATGCAAGCAGCCCCGCTCCGGGGGCTCGGGGGGTGGCAGGGAAGCGGGGGGTGCCGGGGGTGCGCAGGAGGCGGCGCGGTGCTTACATGCTGCTGGCTGTAGCCCTGCAGGAGCAGGAGGTGCGGGGACTGGTAGAGGGAGTACCGCATGCTGCTGCTGCCGCCGCCGCTCCGCGCCGCCGCCGGGCTGCCGGGCAGGGTGGAGCAGTGCCGCTGGAGCCGGGCCCCGCTGCCGGCCCCGGCCCGGCCCCCCGCGCCCGGTGCCGCTGCAGCTTCCGCGCCTGGGCGTTGATGCCTGCGGGGATGGGGGGGAGACAGAGCGGCGTTCAGCCCCTGCAGCCCCCTCCCCGGAGCACCCCCGCGCCGCCGCAGCGCCCCGCGGCTGGAGGGATGCTGAGGGATGCTGAGGGATGCTGAGGGATGCTGCAGCGGGGATGGAGCAGCCGGAGCCCTCCCGGCGCTGCGCACCCAGCCTGCCCTGGTGTCCCCGCTCCTTTGCCCTCCCTGAAAGGTGACGCCAAGGCATCGGCGAGGGGAGTTTAGTGTTCTAATGCCACCGCTAAAACGGGGGTGCCCCTGCCCTCCCCTGGCCCCCAAACATCGGCGAGGGGAGTTTAGTGTCCTAATGCCACCGCTAAAACGGGGGTGCCCCTGCCCTCCCCAGGCCCCCAAACCTCACTGAATGGAGAGCAGCCTGTGGCCCCCAAACCTCACTGAATGCAGAGCAGCCTGTCCCAGTATCCCCCCCAAACCTCACTGAATGGAGAGCAGCCTGTCCCAGTATCCCCCATCCGCCCCGGCCACGCTGCAGGGCTGGGGGGAGAGGAAATGCCTGCTAAAAAGAAATTCCACTCAGTCTTTGCTAAAAAGAAAAAAAAAGAGCCCGGGTTCGGCTTTCAGCCCTTCGGCACTCGGTTGCCAGCAGCAAGTGGGAACCGCAGGGACCCCCCCCCAATTCCCTGGAGCATCAGCCAGGCATGGGAGCTGCAGTGGAGCCCGGCTGCAGCAGGAACAAGCCGTAATTAACTTCTCCCAAGCATCAATTCGGGCAGAGCTGTCTGTCCGTGAGACAAACAGAGCCGGAGTGAATGAATAGGCCTGGCCGAGCTGCCAAGGCAGCCCCTCACAGGGCACCCCCAGAGCCGGGGGGTCCCGGGGGGTCCCTCCGTGCTGCCAGCGTGGCTGCAGCTCTGCAGGAGAAGAGGAAGCTGTGTGTCCGAGGGTGATGCTCGTACCTCAGCCGGGCAGCCTCCTGGGAGCAGCTCACTGGCATTCGGGGAGGATGAAGAGAGGGAAGAAACCCTAGAGGATTTGCTTGCAGGAGCAGCAGTGCAGCGTTGTCGGTGCAGCACCAGAGGCAGAGCCCTGCTCCTGGCTCGGCCGAGCAGGGAGCAGCCTTTGGACAGCGAGGTTTGGGGACAGCCAGCGGGATTTGGGGACGGCAAAGCAGAGAGCCTGGTGTGCCCAGGGCTGCTTAAAGGGACACTCACAATCTCAGACCCAAAAAAAAAAAAAAAAAGAAAAAAATCATCTGCCTTATTTGGTGAGGAATGGGCTGCTGGTTCTGAAATACATTTTTTGTTTGTTTGTTTTAAATGGAGCGCTCCTTTGCTGGGAAAATCAAAGAGATGGGGATGGGGAGGGGGGTGGGACAGGGAGAAAATAGCCCCTGCTGTTTACATGCCTTGGGATTAGGGCAAGGCCAGTCAGGCCACCCCAAGCAGTCCTGTGCCCTGTGTCCTTCTTAAAAAGGCAATTGGCCACGGCACGGATGTGACATCCAGGGAGAACCACAGCCCACACAAAACACGCTGCTGGGGATGCCAAAGGCCACCCCAAAGGTGTCTGCAGGACACCTCAGCTCCCCCCAGGAGCCCTGTCCCCAACCCACACCATGGAAATGGGCCAGAGGGATGAAGGACAGCTGGGACAATGCAGATCCCAGAGCAGGCTGTGGGAGCAGGGAGGAGTGGGGGCAGATCCTGGGGAGCAGCTGCTGCTGGAGCTGGGCTCCCACTGCCTGCAGAGACAGGCCCTCACCAGCCCCTTATCAAGGGGAAAGGAAGCTTCTGTATTTATTTTGTGTAGGAAAAAGCTGCTTTTTCATGGCCGATAGAGCCCCCGTCACAGGCTCCCACTAACCCTGGGGCTGTGCTGGAAAGATAAACACAGCTCCTTTCCTGAGCATAACAAAGTCCCTCCATAAAACTGGGTTAGGTTTTTTTCATCCTTTGGTACTGTTTTGTCCTCCCAAGCGTGTGCAGGTTATCCCACCCAAAACTCAGCCTGAACATCTCCAGGGCAGTGAGACCAGGGCAAAGCCAGTGGCTGCTGAATCCACATGGAGACTGGGATGGGAACAGCATGTCAGGAGTTAAAAAGCATCCCCAAATGTTTCATTCCTCCCTGGATAGCCAGGACTTGGACTGCAGAAAGGAGGTACTGCTGTCGGGGTGTTAGGCCTTGTTCAAGTTTAGGGCTGGACAAGCTCCAATGATCTCGGGCCTAGGGGGTTAAAAAGGCTTGGGAAAAAGGATGTACCACTGATAGTGGGCACAAAGAATACAGAATTTACAGGCCACAAGGACACTTGGCAGAACTCCCAAGATAAGGAAGAAACTGATGGAAGCAACTCAGCAACTGTGCTGAATCAGCTCTGACTGGGAAAGAGGCAATTCTGGCAGGGGGAGATTCACAACCACCAGCCCAAGAAACCACCAGCCCAAAACAAGAGCTCTGCCTCTGTCCCCCCTCTTCTCTCTCTCTACCTCACAATGATTGCTAATAAAATCTGTATTATTTACTTCAGCATTTGTCTCATTTGCAGCTCAGTTCTGGCAGAGGCATCTCTCACTAATCAGATCCTAACACAGGGCTGGATCTCATCCTTAGGGAGAGCTGGGCACCCCTTGGGCAGCATCCACCAGACCCCACCAAGCTGCTGCCTTCAAACCCATCCTGCAACCCAGGGGAAAAACTTTTAGTCGTGGTGCCTGGGATCTGCCTCTTTTTCAGCTGAGGAAAGAGGTTCACTTTTCCTGGCTGAGAAATAAATCAACAAATAACTCCACGGGCCCCAGGAAAGGAGAAATGCTTTGAATGTACCCAGGAGGAACTAAGACCAGGCCAGTCCTTCCTAATGTAATTGCTCTGCAGACTCTGCAGGGAATCTTCCCTGGATGCAGTTGTGCTAAGGTATATCAAAGCCACATCCTCAAAGGCACTTGCCAGAGCATCTTTTAGAATAATAGGCTTAAATCCCAAGTTTCTGGAGCTGCGTGTGCAGTTTAGCCTCCAGCCTCTTGGGAAAGCTCCAGTTAGGAGCACAGGAGCACAGGACCTGGCACAAAATGGGGATATTTTGGAAAATGAATGCCACTGAGATGCCAAGGGCTGCACCTCCTTCCAGCACCCTTGTTTGTGGGTGTTTTCCCTACATTTCCATGACTGCTGCCTCTGTGCCCCCCTAAAGGAGCAGGGAGAGAGGAGCTGCCTCGTTACTGCAGAGAGGCTCTACCTGTGCTGCTAATTAGTGGCATGAGGAGCCAGCACTGTCCTCCCCAGTGGGAAGCAGCTAATAAACTAATTAGGATAATGGGTAACTGAGCAGATAAAAGTCTTAAGCTATTTGCCAACAGGTCATGGATGGATGTGGAGCCTTTCCCCCAGTGATGCACCCGCATGACCCCAGTGGTCCCAGTCCTGCTGTTCCAGGGACAGGGAAGAGCCTGCAGGTATTGCCCTGGGGATGATTTGAGCATCCCTCTGCTTTTCTCTGAGGGAGTTGCAAGGCTGAAGTCCCTTTATTTTTGCACAGATGTCGTGTTTTCCATGCCAGTGCCTCACCACCCTGGGCAGGCAGCTGCTGCTCAGCAAGGGGACCTCTGCCAGCCTGAGCCTGGTGACAAGGGTGACCCTGCTGGAGGGCACTCACGGTCAGTACCCCCTACACCAGGAGTTTTGTGACTTTTTGGGGTGCTGGGTCACAGGCTGCATCACTCACACTCATTCCTGGCAATTTGCAGATGAGCTGGGAAAGGATGGTCCCAGCAGCACAGGGTGAGACTGGTGACAGAGCCCCTGGTGCCACCAAAAGAAAGGGCTGCAGGAGTGAGATTTTACCAGGTAAGGCAGCTATGGGCTGTGTAGCCTGCAGAGCAGACAGCCTGACTGTGGGTGTAGCTTCTGTCTTGGAAGAGCTTGGTCAGCTATGGAAAATGCCCAAAGGTTAAAAAATGGGGAATTTCCACAGCTCCACCCAGGAGTGCTGAAACAAATGAAGTGATAACGAAAGCATAACGGGCTTATTTCCAGATCCAGAGCACAGGATGCCATCAGGAGCTGCTCCTCCATGGGAAATGACCAAAGGATGCCAGCTCCAGGCTGCTCCTGTGCTGGGCACCCAGACCCTGCTGCTTCCCCTGCCTGCGGGGGAGCCTGGCACTCCCACGGCTCCAGCCCACCCAGATCCAGGCCATGGGGAGGAAAGTTGCTTTCTGCATCCCAGGGGGAGGATTTGAGGCCGAGTGGATGTGACCTTGGGCTCTGGCAAGGAGCTGCCATGAGTGCTGCACCCCTCACTCGGCCCTTGCCCTTCCCTCCACTCAACAGAAGCTGTTTTCAGAGCTGCTGCTCTCCCAAAGTGCTTCACATCTCTCTGATCTGGCTGGAGGAGGAGCTGAAGAGAAGAGCAGAGCATCCACTTCCCTGGCCCAGGCTCTGGCAGGAGCCACCTCTCTCTGTGTCCCCTGTGCAGTGAGCTGGGAGCAGCTGTGCATCCCCTCCCTGAGCAGCCACAGACTGCACAGGGTGAGCAGGGAGGTAGCCCTGTCTCCTCAAGTACCAGGTGAAATCCCAATTGAAAACTGCAGCTGGGCAGCTCCAGCTGCCTCTGCTCTCCTCCAGAATGCCCATGGCTGTGCCAGGGTTCTTTCCAGCTTTTCTTAAGATGGGTGGGAGAGGAGCTGTGTCCCCCCTGGCGTGGGACAGGTTAGACCATCTGTTCTGCTGCTGGTGGGGCAGAAGCTTGGCTCTTCTTTGCCAAGCACACAGGGTAATTTAGTTATTTACTAAATTTATAATTTAGTAAATAACTAAACACCACCAGTTTAGTTGTGACAGTAACAGCCCCTTCCTACAGGGGTGAGGAACTGCTGGGGGCCCATCCCAGCAAAAGCCTGTGCCCAACACCTCTGGAGCCTGGTCCAAACCGCTCTGTCAGCAGGTCTGACCCAGCAAGCACATTGTGCAAGTAAAAATCTGATTTTAAACCTTTCTGCCCTCATCCTCACAGGGCTTTTATCTGAGGGTGGGAGGAGGAAAGCTTCATTACTGCTGCTGGGGTCACTTATTAACCTGCTGGTTCCTAATGATGCACTTATCTCCTCCTGCCAGCCCTGGCCTCCATCAGGCACCGCTGCAGGGGCTCTCCTGCCCTACATTGCTCTCTCTTCATTAGCTTTTCATTTTCCTTAATTGCTCCTGCAGATTTGCCTGGGGTGTCAGGCCTGGGGGATGCCCAGGGGGAGATGGGGATGCAGGGGGAGCAGGCACAAAGCTGAGGATGCCACGCTGCTGGCTCACTGATGGGAAGAGCAGGAAGCACAGATGCTCTTGCCTGCTGCTCCCCAGCCAGGGGCAGGGTTTGTTATTAACCCTTAAACCGGCTGGGGTAAATATTTGAGGTGACAGATACAAAAGTGATGCAGGAGAGTGCTGAGTCCTGCCTCAGCCTCATAGCTAAAATGTGACCACCCTCCCACCCAAACCAGGTGTGGAAGGGCTTCTGGGGGCGCATCCCACCCCCTGTCCCTGCCCCACAGCCAGCTCTGACCTGCGGTGGTGGTGTCCACATCCCTGGCCGCCATCTCCTCCACCTCCGCCCTCCTGCGCAGCTCCAGCCGGCGCGAGAAGCCCTCCCTGGGCTTCCAGAGGTCCTGGATGAGCAGCGGCTTCTCGTGGTCGCCCAGGACCCTGAGCCCCTCTGTCTGCCACTGCTTCTCGGGGCCCTGGAAGCGGCCGATGACGTCGCAGAGCGCGTACTGCGCGGCGCTGAGCTGGCTCAGCCCGTAGCGCTCCAGGGCCTCCTTCACCAGCTCCCGCGCGCCCGAGCTGCCCGTCACCAGCACGCTCTTGTAGTTGGTGCCCGCGCAGATGTTGCCCCCGAAGATTTTCAGGATGCCGGGGGCCGAGAGCTGGGTGGAGAGCTCGGCCGGGTCGTCCTCGGCGGGGGCTGAGCCGCGGTCCTTGTAGCTCAGGGTGCGGTACAGCACCTGGGAGAAGAGGCGGCCCTGGCGCTTCAGCCGGTTCTTGGACGGCGGAGCCATGGTGGAGGACGGCCCATAAAACATGGTGCGGGAGCTCGTCATGAAGCACAGCTGGGCAGGGAAGAGCAAGGAGGGGAAGGTGAGCGGTTTGGAGGCTGGGTGTGCAGCAGGGGAGAGCCAGCCATGGAGGAGCCACTGTCACCTCCAAGGTGACAGGTCAAGGGAGGGCCATTTCCCTCGTGTGACCCAAAACACCAGTGGAAGCTTAGCCAAGTTGCTTGGCACCAGCACAATTACCCCTGGATGGATTTGTCCCTGAAAACACAGCCTGGAGAGGCCCCATATTCCTCCATCAAGGTCCCTCTTACCCAGGTGAAATGCAGTGGGAGGAGAGCAGAGCCCAGCGGGACTTGGCGGGGCCCACCCTGGTCAGCAGCCAAGGCATCAGGAGTTACTTCCACTAACGAGTTTACGGAGCAATCCCATTTTTTAGAGGTGAAACGAAAGCTCAAGTGCAAATTCACTCACTCTGAGGTGACTGCTAAATGCTTTTTCCCAGCGAGAGGCACTGGGTGAAAATGGGCACTAATTAGCCTTTCTAAAAATGTCCTGACTCCGGCAAATCTCTTGGCTGTTGCTTGTTTGTGGAGGACGTTCAGGCCCAGGGTGGCATCGCTGACAAGGCTGCCCTTGTCACGTTAGCCCAGGGCAGGGCTGCTCAGGGCAGCCCCGAGAGGGCAGGGACTGGAGGAGATGTGACCAAGGCCCTGTGGCAGCTCCCAGTGCTCCTCAATCCCCTGGAGTGGACCAGGAACCACAAATCACTTCAGGATTTATGTGGGTAGCACTCCTGCCTGATGTCACTGTCCCCATCTGCAGATGGCTTTGAAATCCCACCCTGGTTGCACCAGCACCTGGAGACCCACAGCCACACTGTGCCCTGCTGGCAGGGGAGGTCTGCAAAGACAATCTGAGCACTCCTGGTTGGGACAGAACTGGGAACTCCCTCTCCGAGATCTTTAACGTGCAGGGACCCCATGCACACACACAGGAGCCCCAAAATGTGCCATCCACAGCTGGATGCAGCAGATGAGGTGGGAAGCTGGGTGACCCAGGTGTTCCTGGCTGGGCACACGTGAGGTGCCAGCAGCTCCCACAGCTGCAGCCAGACTGGCTCGGGCACAGCCACGCTCCAGAGCAGACTCAGCGCTATCAGCAGAGTGATGTCGGGCCTGGACAGCCTCCAAACCACATCTAATTCAGGAAAAAAGAGCGTCCCTGCTGCTAATGGAAGAGGTCACCTTCTAACCCAGAAACCAGCTCCCAGCCGTGCGTGGAGGGTTGCTGCAGGATGTGCATCCCCCATCCCACAGCCAGACACAGGGAATGCTGCAGATGGGGAAACTGAGGGACCAGGTGCCAAGGATGTGGCTGGGAGCTGTGAAATCCTGCAACGCTGCTGCATCCCAAGTCCCCCCTTTCTCAGCCCCACCAGGACTGTGAAAATGCTGGGGTTTGTCCTTCTCCCCAGGCTGCAGGTTCCAAAACTGACTCCTGGTGTGCTGAAGGGCAGGAGTCCTGGCAGGACAGCCTGGCTGAGCACCTTGAGTTTTACATTGCCCCAGAACTTCACCCCAACTCGCTGGGCTCAGGTGAAGCTGCTCCTGCTCCCACCTCACAAGTGGGGAAACTGAGGCAGGGATGGGGTTGTGGGCTCCCCCCACACTGCTGCTCCTCCCTCTCCAGCTGAGCCCAGAGCTGCTGCTCCCGCTGGGGACATCCCTGGGGACATCCCTTGATGTCTGCTGTGTGCCACCTCTGAGAGTGCCGCGGCAGCCCCGACCTGGGGAGCAGGTCAGGGCACTGGCAGACAGCTTCAGGAACAGCTGCCCCAGGCCTCCAGCACGGCCCTGCCAGCCCTCATTAGCATGGACCAGAAGGAAAACTGCCCCAGAGTCCCTACAGGACCTTGTCATCAAGGATGCAAAAGACAAGACTTTGTCATCAAATCACTGGTTTCACTGATTTAATCTCCACCCTGAGCTACCTCCAGCACAAAGGGAAACCTTTCACCATCTGCTGGTGGCAAAATCATTCCTCCAAGCCCACATCACAGAGACACCATCCTTGCTTCTTGCAGGTCCCTGACTGGTTCTGAATGTGTTATTTATAGCTCAGCTATTTTTCTGCTCTTTCTATAAAATGCAGCTCCTACAGAGTTCAGGGCAAAGACGTTTCACCGGGAAAAAATCAGAACCTGGGTCAGGGAGAGGTGTCACCCCAATTTTCAGCATCTAGAGCAGCACAGGTGATTTTACCAGGCACCAGCCTGGGTGACCTGAGAAATCACATTCTCCTGGAGACAGCAGAACTCACCTGGTCTTAATTGCCCTGAGGACTCTTAATGGACAGGATAAGATGATAATGAACTGGGCTCCTCCCACATCCGTGCGCTCAGGCACGCTGGGCTCTGGCATCTGCCCCCAGGAGGAAATCTCTCCTGGCAGGAGGAGGAAATCTCTCTCTGGTACAAGAGGAAATCTCTCTGGTACGTGCAATCCTGCTGAGCCCTGCTGCAGGAGCAGGGATGCTCCAGCTGTGTCCAGCTGCCTGGGACAAGTCAGCAAGAGTGTCACACCTCCCAGCAGCTCAGTGGGACACGTGCTCCTGGACATCCCCAGCCCAGCTGAGCCCTTTTCTCACTGCAGGCCAGTTCCCTGGAAGGACACAAGCCTGCAGCATGATCCAGACTGTCCCAGGAGTCCCTCTCTCCAGCACTCAAGGATGTTCTCTCTCTAACGGATTAGTCAAAAGCCTGGGACTGCCTCCCAGCGAGATCTGTGTCAGGGATCCTTCACCTCTTCACAGCAGTGCCTGACCACACCAAAACCAGCTATTTTCCACAGCCAGCTCTGTCTGAGCTCTGCAGAGCTGTGACAAATGCCCATGGTATTCATGTGGCCACCACGTGTCCTTCCACCACCACGAGTGACTCTGCAACCTCCAGGGACTTCCCTGCAGGCCTGAGGTTCCTGCTCCTGGAATGGGTGAGCAGCTCCTTCCCAGGGCCCCCACCCAGTGCTCAGACCCTACCTTGCCATCCTTCTCACGTGCCTTTTTCCCTTCCATTCATCCTCCTTTTCAAAACAATCTTTGCCCTTCGTTGTGCATCATCCTGGGCAGGCGTCTGTCGCGTTTCTGAGAGAGGAAGAGGAGGAGAGGTCCTGGGCTGCTCACGGACATCAGCTGCTCACAGAGAGGTGGGACTGGAAGGCTCAGAGGTTCTGCAACACGGTCCTGAAGTTTGCATGTGGGGTTCTGAACCACATCTGTGCCCCCTATAACCAACAGCACCTACCCCATCGCATGGGAGACCGGGAGAGAACAGCAGGAGGAAGGAGAGGAAGCAGGAGGAAAAGAAAGGAAAGGAGAAGGGGAGGAGATGGAACCAGCAACAGCCCCCTGACCTTTTTCCCTTTCCTAAGCACACGTGTCCAAGGATGCCAGGCTGGGCATCCTCTGGCCCACAGGTGAACAAGCAAGCCCTGGACCAGCTCCTTCCCCCAGCAGCTGCAGCATGCTGGGATGCTCACTGAGATTTGTTTTCCTGAACCTCAGTCTGTTTTGCTGGACATCAAGAAGAGCCACCAAGCACTGTCCCCTCACCTTCCCACCACGGATCTGTGAGAACACAAGCACTGGTGGCCAGAGACAAAGCTAAAAGAGGCACCTGCCAAGTGCCACCAGGGATGTCACGGGTGTTCCTCGGGGACAGCCATCAGGGCACAAGAGCTACTCTTTTCCATGGCTCCACAGTGATTAAAGATAAATGCATCATCCTCTAATTAAATCACCTAATCAGGGCCTCGGTGTGGTTCCATCCAGTCCCTCTTGCTGGCCCAGCCTGGGGGCTGTGGGAGAAACTCTGCAGGTCGTGATGCAAGAGGCAAAGAGGTGCTGCCCCCACCTCTGCTGCTCCACCTTTCTTCCAATGATTTACTCCTCCTGGTAAAATATTTATGCCTTATTTCCAGCGTGTCTGCCCTCAGCTGCCAGCTATTGATTCTTGCCATCTTTTCTCTGCTCAACCAACAAGCTTTTGGCTACCATGTATTTTCTCCTCTGCAAGAGTATTTAGGTGCTTTTGCCAAGCCCTCCTCTTTCCTCCTTGATTGATTTATGAGTGGACTCACTGGATGACCCCCTCCTCTCCCCCTGTAAGACCCTTTCTGCAGCCCCTTACTCCCTTCCCCTTGGACTCCACATCTCCTCTGCTGAGAAGGAAAGTTTGGATTTGGCTGCCATAACCCCAGATTTGGTTCTGACCAGAAATGCAAATAACTGCTATTTTCTTTTTTCCCCAGAGCCAAATTTCACATTATCCTGAAAATTTTCAATTCTCCAGTGCAGAAATGGGGACAGACTGCTGCCTGGTGAGCCCCTGTGCTGCCTCTCCCAGCATTTGCAGGCAGCTCCAGCTGAAAATTTACCATCCAGATTAGGGACAGGAAACCACACAGAGCCACAGTTATTATTTTTGGGTGTAAAAGATTTCCATGTTCCACTCTGTTCCAGTTAGGAAGCCTTTCTCTCACTCAGCTTGCCACCCAGATTTGTATAAACCATTAACACTCAGCTGCTCTGGGTCAGATCCAGGTTTTTCCAGAAATCATTTCCATCTCCCTTCTTCCAGATTAGTGATAAAAACACCAAGTCCACGTTACCAGCTAGCAGTGCCCAGCAGTGATAATCTCCCTGATAACTGCCCTGGAAATGGATCACGTTTATTTAATACCAGCTTTCTTGACACTGTGCAATGTCAGCTCTAAATACTGGACTGGATTGACTTTTTTAATACTGGAAAGTGCAGATTTTTACAAGAATATCACCTCCCATAACTCAACTGCTTCTCAGAAGTGTATTACAGCCAGAGAGTCACCTCTCATGTTGGAGACTGAAATCATTTCTACTTGCCAGGAGTTATTTTCCATACAGCCACGTTGGATGGCAAGAATTTATTCCTGGTGTTGAAGTCTTTAATCAATTCAAGCCCGAGCCAGGTCTCTCCCTCTCCTCCCTGGGGGGATGCTATCAAGCCAATCAACCTGTAGCTACCAGGTCATCTTATTCCCTTTTGGGAAGAGCCACAACACTATTAAAGCACTTTTTAATCATCTGGAATGTCCCCGGGGCTCATCCCAGCACACGGATGGGTGGTGAGATTTCAGCTACAGCCACCCCAGAACAGGAACCACAAAAGCTGTGTCCTCAGATCTTTGTTTGAAATTTTTTCTTTTCTTTTTCTTTTTTTTCGCCTTTTTTTGTTTTGTTTGTTTTTTGTTTTTTGTTTTTGTTTTTTTTAATGGAAACCGCCTTTTTTTTAATGGAAACCACTGGAGCGGCAGCTCGGACTAACGGCAATGACCGCAGCCTGGATGCTGCAAGCGGAGGGAGCGCTGCAATGTGGAACAAATTAGAACTCGGAGAGCAAAGGAAATGAGAACGCCCTGGTAGCTTTGACGTGCTCTCCTCGGCTCCAAACCCTGCCCCTCTGCAGGTCCTGTCCCGGAGCCGAGGCTGCCAAAGCCAAACCCCTCCGCTCGGACCGGAGCCCCCGCTCCCTTCCCTTCGGGATGGAGCCTCGGAGTCTTTCCTCGTGCGACTTTTATCCATCTAATCCAGGGGCAGACCGGAGCCTGGTGATGTCCATGGCTGCCTCGGTGCCGTCTTTAGCCGGATCAGGGCGGGTAAACTCCTTACCACGTTATTATTAGCAGCGGGCACCCTGCAGGAGCCCGGGGCTGCTCGCACAGGATGGAAAAGCAGCCCCGGTCCCGCAAACACCAACAGCCTGTCCCAAAGGCACCTATCGCTCCACACACGTTGTTACAGTCCTGATTCCACAAGGACAGCAGGAGTCCTTTCAGCAGGTTTCCTTTCCTTGGTGCTTTTTTCCTCCTGTAATTATTTTGCAGGGTCTTTTGAGCCGCCAACGTGCACCAGCTCTCCTGTAATCCACCAGTGCAAATGCCAGCCCTCTGCCCAGGCAGTCTATTCACACACCCCAGAATCCCTGCACAAAAAGCATTTGCGTTCTGCTGCCTCCCGAGCTCCACGGTCTCCGTAGGCTGCCTAATTATAAGATCTTAGCAATATTTTTTTTTTTTCCAGGGATAATTAACTGGTCCTGGAGAGCGCTGAAAATAAGCACTTCCCAAGCAAGTAGCGAACTCCCCTGAGTTTTCTCTGCTGAAGTTACAACTCAGCATGAAACTGCTCCAGCCCCACAGGGACACAGGTCACCTCAGCACCTCCCTGCCAGCCCGGGATGCCGCCGCGGCCGCAGGCACTGAACACAGGTGAAACGGCGGGGGTGGGACAGCAGCGGGATCCCAAATGGACAAGGATCCCGAGGGGTATGGAACGGGGACGAGGATCCCAAGGGGTACGGAATGGGGAAGAGGGATCCCAGGGAGCGCGCAAGGGGCAGAGGAAGCCCAAGGGGCGTGCGACTGGGAGAGGGACCCCAAGGAGCGTGCAGGGGGGAGACGGATCCTGCGGGATACGGAACGGGGACACGGACTGCAAGCAGAGTCCAGGGGGGAGAAGGAGCCCAGCGGGGGTGGAACGGGGACGATCCCAAGGGATGCGCGATGGGACACGGACCCGCAGGGACGGGCAGCGCGGGGAAGGCTCCCATGGGACAGGGACCCCGGGGCGCTGCCGTGCCCGGTGCGGCTCCGCGGGTCTCCCACGGCAACCGGACAAGCCCCGAGCACCGCGCTCCTCCCGCCTCCCAGGGGACGAGGAACCAACGCTCCCGCCCGGCGCAGCGAGGGTGCCGGGGACGCAACAGCGGGGATGTGCCCCCCAAGAAACGGGGATCCCTGGGGCAGGGTCCGCCCGAGCCCCCCGAGCCCCGGTACTCACCGTCGGAGCGGGGCAGGCTCGGAGCGACCCCGGCGGCGGCAGCGCCCGGAGCCGCCGGAGCCGCCGGTGCCCCCGGAGCCGCCCGGAGCCGCCGGAGCCGCCCGGAG